GATTACATTGATTTCTATTATTAACTCATATTCTCTGCTAATCTTAAGGCAAAGTTTAAAAGTGAAGAGAAGATGATTGAAGAGAAAGAGGCGAAAGTCATTAGAATATTATCAATGAATGATAAGCCGACAAAACCTTTGACTAAAACCATTGATGCGTTGCCTAAGAAATTGATTCCTAAGAAGAAAGTGAGTCCAAAGCAGAAAGAAGTTTCGCAGAAACCACAGAATAAGGCAATTGACACGAAAGTCAAATCCGAAGAACCTTCTCAAGCGAACAAAGCTAAGCCTTTGATCGCTCCTAAGTCCGGAAGATCCACGAAACAAGTGTTAACTGAAATTATGGATCAGATCTTTGAGAATCCAAACTCTATTCCCTTCCAAACCATAGATCACATCCTATGGCCGACGTATCGCAAAGAGATCAGTGATGCGGATCTCAGTCTCGGCTCTATTCGCGAGTTAATGGTGACGGAGAAGATGTTTACTTTCAGACGCTTTAATTCACTGATGAATAATGTGTTTGAAAACGTAAAGATTTTTTTTAAACATAAAGAGGACGAGATCTACGAAATGGCCATCACTTTGGAGAAGTATTACTGTAAGAAAATGGTGGAGCAGTTTGGAGACTCGTTTAGAGAGCCCGAAGTGATCGTCAGTGATGGCGAGGACTCGGATGACAATAAGCCGAAGGTTTCGAAGGTTAAGCCAAAGTCGACTCCAAAAACGGTGACAAATAAGTCTCATGAAAATGATGATAAAGTGAGTGATAGTCACATATCTGCCGCCGACTTCACTACTAATGATGTGTCGGTTGTGATAACGTCCACCAATTCTAAGAGAACCACACGTAACATACAATCATTGAGTAAAAGTGAAGTTAAGTCCAGTAAAAGCACTGTCGATGTCAATGGCAAGGATATCGTGAAGAGCACTGAGATTACAAAAGTGTCTAAAGATGTTGTGGAAGAGTCTAATGATCAGGAATTAAGTGTTACACCAAAAAGGAAATCTCAAACTAAACCCATATCTTCGTTACCAAAACGATTGAAATCTAATGGAAAGCTGAGCGCCAATGAGGACATTGGCGTGAATTCTCAACCGATAAAAGTATTTGATTTTAGATTTTTAAAATTTTTATTTAATGCTAATAATTAGTATTAACTTATTTATAAACAACAAAAAGCCTCGAAAGTCATCTCAAGACTCATCAAATGTTGTGGCCATAGATATGGACGCTCTGTCCCCAGAAGTACAAAAGCAAGCCATCGTTGAGACGGTATTTGAAATCTGTTTCTTTTTAGCGAAATATTTACTTTTAGCCTAATTTTGATTTTTTGGTCCACTGTTAGCCAATTAACAAAGAGATTGAAACGGACAACACGTTTGCGACCGAATCGGATAACGTTAACTCATGTGATATTAATGTGAATAAAAAGGTCACAATTTAATCAATGTTTGAACGAAATTATCTCCCTTTCCATTAAAGCGATCATTACTTAAAACTCTTGAAAAATCTAGAATCTGTTAATCATTTTGAAAATATTTATTATTTTATCGGGAATAATAAAAATTGATATAATTTTTGTCTTCACAGAAATCTCTGTTTTGTTTATTTTGTGACCAATTCTTTGGTGATAAGAACGAAGCCGTGACTCACTATGTGATGCATTTGTGTCCACTGAAGTGCGTGAACTGCAACCGACTGTTCGCCACATACGACCAGTTCCTGCGATCCCACGACTGCGGACGCCCCAAGACTCCCCAATACATTGAGTGGTCGCGACATTATAGCGACACAATCGTCTGGATCAACCNCGTTTGCCTGAGATATACTGTAATGTATTTCCAAATAAAAGTCAATTTTTTCACAATTAAAATATTGTATTATTCTATTATTATTAACAAATATTCTGTTATTTTATTGTCGTTTACAATCATTGATCCAGTACCTATACTGTAATTATGCGTATATAATAATTGATGTTAAGTTACTATATAGTATATACTGAACTAAATACATAAGTTTTTATTTTGTATTTATAAGTTAGTTAATGATTTGGAGACATGAGAATACTATAAGAATATAAATAGAAATTATATATTTATTATAGATTATCATAAACTGAATACCATTAGTATAAAACCATTTAGCGATAGTGAGCTAGATCATCAACTATAATATAGTTACTATATCATACTATAATATAACTTTGTAATAATTAAAACACTACACGAACTACATACTATCTTACGAATTCAAATGTGATTGGCTTATCATATGTTTGTAATTATTTTTTAATACCAGATCATGGCCTTCACTATGACTATGATATTCGTTGCATTCAATGTACAGTATTGTATGATATAGTAACTATATTATAGTTGATGATCTAGCTCACTATCGCTAAATGGTTTCATACTAATGGTATTCAGTTTATGATAATCTATAATAAATATATAATTTCTATTTATATTCTTATAGTATTCTCATGTCTCCAAATCATTAACTAACTTATAAATACAAAATAAAAACTTATGTATTTAGTTCAGTATATACTATATAGTAACTTAACATCAATTATTATATACGCATAATTACAGTATAGGTACTGGATCAATGATTGTAAACGACAATAAAATAACAGAATATTTGTTAATAATAATAGAATAATACAATATTTTAATTGTGAAAAAATTGACTTTTATTTGGAAATACATTACAGTATATCTCAGGCAAACGAATGTTAAATTACAGTGACATTAAATTAAATTATAACAAACTATAAAAACGTTTGATTCAAATATAATTTCAAGGGTTTTCAATTCAGAAATTCTAAATCAACTCTAGTTTGTTATAACCAATAGATTTAATAATTTTTCATATTTAAAATTATTATTAAGTAGAATTGCATTAATGTAAACACTTTTATTCTACTAATAATTGCCAGAATTTCAATTCAATCAAATGTTATGCAAATTATTGGGTAAAACTGAAAACAAGTGTTGACTGATATGTCGATGAGTGAGCTATGAATGCAATTATGGGTTAAAGGAACGGAACACAATGTCATCCAATTTAGGTATGGATCCATCGAAGAACATCTTCAATGAGT